CTTTGTCGTTGGTCATCTTTTTGTCACGTAAGAAGGAAATGCACATTGTCTCTCTTCACTCAGTACAACATCACTTGAGAGTGTTTTTGAACTTACTACCTCCCAGTGATAGTAGACCTGCTGCTACAGTCAGTACTGCATAATTCGCAGTCCCTATCGACATTTCTGTTACGCATATAATGCTGAAACCAGTGTGTGTGGTATCACTTTGATGTAAAGCACGTATTAAATATAGGATGCATATATTGAATCAAAGAGCGTCAACAATGTACCATCTAGTTCGACCGTCTTCAACTCCCAGGTCGTACCATGCAAGGACAAGACAGACAACAATACAGGTTAAGAAAATACCAAATATCAATCTGGGTATTGATCTGTAGCATGTGTGTCAGTTAAAGACTGTGCAAACAACACTACCAGAAATCAACAACCGAAATCAATGAGCAAGAGCTTGGACCGCCCGAGGCTTACATAAGTTCCAGTAAACAAGTACCAGTAAGCTATTGTTTTGATCAGAGCCAGAATAGTGCGGAAAATCATTTATATTGCAGATTTGTATCTGGTCACACCTAGTTGGTTATGCATGGAAACTGTTGTTGGACAACATATACACTGTAAGAGAACATAAAATGCAATAGTGATTGCAGATTCGTCCATGATCTTACATAATAGTTCAACTTTGTATTCATGTCCTAAAATTGCTACTGAAATATTTTTCGTCCATGATAATCAATCGTGCATGTTATTCTTAGTTTGAGTTTAAAAACGATTTACGCATGCTGTCGTGACTATACAGCGATTTTGTGTGATGGAAGCAGAACCGAGGTCTTTTCATTCTTACGGTAGCCCTCGATGAAGTAGATAGACGCCATAAGTAGTTCGAAAAACATATATATCCATTTTATGTAACGTAGCAGATATCCAAACGTTTCTCTGTCAGCCGTATTCCTCACAGTATTTGTATTTGACTCCCTTGAACCTGGGTCACTTCAGTTATCCTGGAAAAGGAGTGGTATCTAGCGAGTCAAGATCAGAGTGGAATGAGTTTCGTTCTTCGCTCGTTTCCTGTTTTTTCTGACCAGAGAACAGCTGCAATCGCAGATGCTGAAGAGGACAGTCTCTGCTTCAGTTCACCCTGTTGTAGCGTTCTTTACGTGAGTCGTTTCCCACCAACTGCCATGTGTAACATAAGAGAAATCTGAACCACTTGAACGATGAACGCCGTCGGACAGCTTAACGTAAGACGCTGTTCCTGATCAATGCTCTTGGCTAAATGTCGATGAATCATCTGAAGCCTTGATCCGTAAATCTCCCAAAAATTTCAAGCACGGCAGGATTGATAACGCCATTGGTCCAATTCAAAATAAGTGTCATCTGGTGCATCTAAAAACGTG